TGGCCATAAATTTTAATGAATTTTGGCCAATAACCTAAATGCAAATTTCAATCATTTGAATTTTACACATATGCGCATATCAATTTAGTTTGAAAATTTGTCATAAATTTCATCCAATAATATGTGTCAACTTTTTGTGGCACTTTTTTTTTCCCCCTCACCTCTCTCACTCCGATTATAAATGTAATGCCATTTTGAATGGCTTATTAGATTTCACAACAAAATATTCGATTTAAAAGTAATAGAAAGGATTGTACGAGCTAAACGACCCTTGTTTATACTTTCTCTTTCTTTTTTCGAAATTAAAATTTCAAGTTTCAATTCTTTATTTTTGAAAGAAAAATTTTAATTCTATGTTTTATATTTCTTCTTCGTCAATTTTCAACAACTTTCGACAACAAAAAGAATGGTTTTTCTTTCAAAAAAAGTTGTAATTCTATGTTTTAAGAAAATTAAGTTTTTTTTTCTAAATTCAAATTTCAACACACTCAAAAAATTTTTGAATTTTGAAACAATCCATAAACATGAATGCCTATATAATTATTAGGATATTCAAGCTATGATAATTTTTTTTTTACTTAATTAATTTTTGGAAGTTAAAGTAAAGCTCAAAAATAGCCCAAAATGTTGACATACATGGCTTTAGATTTTGACATTTGCTTTAACGAGGACATTTCATTAGTAGCCTAAGCTACATTTGATAATTTATTTTTCTGCAAATGTGATAAACAACTTTAGTGTTTGTTTTCTTTCTAATCCTAGCATGCTATATGAAAATTAGTGATAAGAGATATGAAATAAAAAGTGTTAAATATAGAAATTAATAAATTAAAATATAACTTAGGAAAGATTGATTTTTTTTTCTTAAAGTTCTTAACTTTTATCTTTCGAATTGATATTTCATCCAAGAAGTCGAAAGTTAAATTTAAATTGCATATTTGCAGGATGTGATTTGTTTTGTATAATGATCTTTTACTTTCTCATTTCAAGGAATCAAAAAAGAGGAATACATATATTAGTTTTTATATGTAATCATATCAGTAATTATATCACTTTTACAAAATGATAACAGTAACCATGAAATGCAATTGTGAAGGATTTTCTTTAAAACAAAAAAAATCAAAATAAAATAAACAATTTTTGTCTTATCAAAATTTGAAAAGTAACAAGAAATTTTGGCAAAATAAGTTTTAAAATTATAATCAAATAAGATAAATTTCACAAAAAAAATTTTGAAATTATTTGTATAATAAAATAAAAAAAAATTCCTCGTAATTTTTTTATTTTTTGTTTTTTTTTTTTACTTTCCTTCTAATTACTATCCTTTTCATTAATCTTTTTGTTGTGTAATTAAAATTAATTTTTTGTAATTTTTGAAAAAAAAAACATTTTCATTCTATAGTTTTTATAATAATAAATAATTACAAAAAAAAAAAATTTATTTTATAAATAATTTCAATATTTTCACAATGTCATTAAAATATTATTGCACGCATAATTAATTATCGCATCTTGTGTTGTTTATCACTAAATGCTTCCTGGTACAATGATAATTGATTTCGTACCAGTTGAAAAACAAACAATTGATAAGAGATATGGCTAACTTTCTCATTTTCTTTTACTAAAGTATTTTCCTATCCCTGTAGATGCATAATTAATTATAACTTCAATTTCAGTTTTTTTTTTTTAAAAAAATTTTAGCATAATTCTTATCATTACATCTATTCATTGGATTAAAATTTTTAATCATTAACATTACAGTTATTAAAGCATTTGGTATTAAATGAATCATTAGTTTCGTAATGATGGAAATGTCGGATTTCCGGATAAATCTGAAAATCCGCAAATACTTTTCCAGATTTCTGCTAATGTTATCTATTTGTGGTGATCACAGACATGACCATATGCTTCAAATAATTATTTAAGTATTAATTTGATTACCGTGTGCACAAGTTAATTCCCTTTGTTTGAAAAATTAAATACATTATTGTTATTTGTAATTAAAGCAAACGAAATATATCATTGGAAGATAATATCATTAATTAATTAATGATAAGTATAAAGTAAGGAAGATAAAAAAAAAGAACGAAAAATTCTCTTAGAATTTACAAAGTTTTATTTTTCTTTCTTATAGAATTGTTTAGAAAAATTTTTGCAATGATCTTTTTAGATAATTTCCTGCAATCAATAATCGTTTCTTTTTTTTCTTTAAATCATTTTTTTAAATTAACATTATGTTACAATACTTGCTTAATGTTTCTTTTTTTTATTTATTTATCAATAAAATAACAATATTTTACTTTGATTATTATATCAATAATATCTCTTTGTGATCTTTGATAAGCATCCTTGTTAAATGTATTGATAAGTTATCCTTAGCAATTATTATCTAATTAATGTTGTCCAAAAAATTTGGAAAAGGAATAAGTTATGTTTCAATTCATGTTGTAAAAGCAATTTAAGTTATTGATTTAAAAAAAATGACATTTAAAAAAATTTTTCAACAAAAACTTAAAGTAAAAAAAATTAAAAGCATATTTTGTTGAAATTGTCATTCATTTATATATATTTTTTATATTTTATGCCTTAAAAAAAATAAACAAACTTAATTTTTGCAATTTTTTAAACCTAAAATTAAGAAATACTAAGTTCTTTTTTTTCTTTAAAAAATAATTATTTAAAATGAATAATTTGAATTATTTTTACATCACTGAATTAAAGCATTATCAATTATTATTGTTTAGCCCTATTTTTCACCTTTTTTTTTTTCGACGAATTAATTAACTCATTTATAAAGAATATTTTCAGAAGAATGGAAGGAAGATGAAAAGAATCGAAAGTAAAAGCAAATTTTTAAAATTATTTTAATTTAAAAAAAAGAAAACAGAGAAAATCATTGTCTATTTAAAATTTTATAACTCATTCATTCCCTTTTCCTTGCTATTTGCATCATATTTTCAATTAACAAAATTGAACTTTTTTTTTTTATTTTGAAATTTCTTTTAAATTTTAATTGAAGACTTTGACACTTGCAATGACAAGTTTATTACTATTATTACTATTAAATATCATTTTCGATACTTTACATCTATTTTAAAACAACTGTTGTTTACAACACACACAATAAATTAAAATTACTGAAAAGAAGGGAAAATAAAGCATTTTAAAAATTCGAAATTATTCTGAGTCTGTTGTTGATTGAGTATTATTTCAAAAATTTTATAAAACATGCACATAACTATTTTATTTTGACAAGTTTTAAATTCTGCAAGCCGTTAATTGTTCATTTTACTTTATTACTAATTAACTCTTAGTTTAAGACATATGAGAAGATTGGAATGATTTTAATTTCATTAAAGATTTGAAGTTAAATAAAGGTAGCTTAATTTGCAGTAATTTACAAAAATGGGTATCACCAGAAATATATCAGAGGATAAAATTGAACTGGACGATAATGATTCAACGATATCAATTAGTATTGATGCTGTGGAACAATTGCAAACTATTGGTGAAATTTTTAAATTATACCTCAAAATTTTATTTTAAAACTAGTTTATAAAACATACTGTTCCTTTTTTCCCGAAATTTAATTGTAAAAATTAATTACAAAAGCTTTTTTTTTCGATCAGTAATAGAAATAGTTTTTGTTTAATTAAATATAAAGCAACTTATTAAAATAAGAATTTTTTTGAAAAATTTTAAATTCTTTGGTTAAAAATAAAACAAATTATTTGAAATAAACAATTTTTTAGCTAATAATTTATGCAAAAATGTTAGAAATATTTGTTGATGTATCTAACATTAAACAATTAACAATATATTCTTGCATGTTAATTAGCAAATATAAATTAATTACTTGCATGTTAATTTTAGTCAATAATTAAGCTAGTTATAGGGATAAATATTCAGAAGATAGGTGAATCATTAAACAAACATTCGAAACATTTTATGTAGGTAGGTAAACAATAGAAATATTTTAAGTGGACAGGTAAACATTTAGGACACTTTAATTGTACAGGTAAACAGTGGGAACATTTTAAGTGAACAGGTAAATATTCAAAAAATTTTAATAAATAGGTAAATATTCAGAACAAAGTGCGTTAAAACAAATATCAACCAAATCATTATAATTGTGAATAAATGTCAAAGAATTTGACATTCCTTTACTTTAGGCTTTTTTATTTGCAATTTTAAAATGACACCAGTATACGACAAATTTTAATTTAAAAAATTAAAAACATTACATTGTTATTTATTAACTTAGAAAATTAAATTAGCTAAAAATTTATTTCATATTTCGAGTGCTTCAAACTTTCGTGTTTTTTTTTGCTTGCTTGATTTTTTTCCCGTCTTTACTAATAAATTCAAAGCTATTGAAAGTTAGCAAAAGTGTAAAATGAAAATCTTAAAGAATAGAAAAAAAATAGACAAATGAATTTGACCATTTTATTCGAAAAGCTGACAATGTCGTATAGCTCTTTTTTCTTTTTTCTTGTATTTTTTACTCTAAAAATATACTGAATGTTAAATTGAATAAAACAATCAAAAAGCTTTTCCATTTTTTCCTTTTTATTTGAGAGAAATTATTTTTATTTGATGTCTGAATTCTCGAAAAAAAAAGAAAAGAAAAAAATAAAATCAATGCATTAAATAAATTCCATTTAATTTAACAAAATTCAAACAAAAAGAGAAACGGGCAAGTTTTGTGTTTTTAAGCTAATTTATAAAATATTTGCTGATAACTTGAAACTTAAAAACAAAATACTAAAATTCAAATTTGTTTTTTTTTGCATTTTAAAACTGGTATAGAATAAAAAAAAGTTGAACAAAAAATTAAGTTTAATGAAATTTTTTGCAATTTTTTTTGATTGCAATAAAAAATTCTATAAGGATGTAAATTAATTTTTTGCAATATATTACAAATATGAAATATGCAAATTTTTTTTTGCCTTATATTTTATTTGTAAAAAGTGAATTGTAATGAAAATTTTAATTTTAAGGGATCGGATCATTTGGTCGAGTGTATCTGGCACGTGATTGTAAAACTACAAAGTTTTATTATGCGCTTAAAAAAATGTCAATCCGTAAAGTGATCTTAACGCGACAAATAGATCATGTTTTTTCGGAGAAAAAAATTTTGGCTTCACTTAGACATCCTTTCATTGTCAAAATGTATCTTTTATTCATAGGTTTTTTTTTCTTTTACCTAAAAAGGGTCAAAAACAAGGAATGGAAAGGTCAGTCTTAGAGGATGATGTTATTCGAAAGCAATTAATATAAATGAAGAATTAGGAAATTATTTCATTGTGATTATAAAGATTACGTTTCTTTTTCTTTTTTGTTTCTTTTACCTAAAAAAGGTCAAAAGCAGGGAATGGAAAGGTTAATCTTAAAGGATGATGTTATTCGAAAGCAATTAATATGAATGAAGAATTAGCAAATTATTTCATTTGTGAGCGTAAATAATATATATTTATTTAAGAAATTGCATTTTTTTAGACAATTCTACGGAACAATTTCAAAAGAATTATTTAAATATTTGTTTAAAGAATAGCATTTGCTCATACAATAAGTTATTTGTTTGAACTAATTTTTTTCTTCTTTTTGCAAATTTTACATGGATTAGGAATAGAAAGGCTTGAATTTGTAAAATAATTACTAACAAACTGATAAAATCACAGGTGTTTGCATTGTTTATATTAATTTAACAAATTTTCCACTAATAGTTTATTCCAATTAATTTGATATTTCAGGATTCATCATAATTTTTAAACTTGACCATTTGAACCTAACCAACATTTAATACAGTCATTAATTTAATTTATAAATTTATAGGTATAGCTCAAAATGTGATGGACAAAATTTGTATATTTTATTTGAATATATCTCTGGTGGTGAGCTATTTTCGTATTTACGAAATGTTCAAAAATTTCCTGTTGTAACCGCTCGATTCTATGCATGCGAAGTGATATTAGCATTGGAATATTTGCATTCGAAAAATATCGTTAGTTTATTTAATTATTAAATTATTTAATGATTAAATTTATCAATTTCAAATTCAAGTATTACTTATCGTTCAACATTAATCAACTATGTTTAGTATCATCAAAACAGTTGAGCCTGTTTCGTATTAAATTAAAGTTTGATTTAAAAAAAAAATATTGTGCAATTTAAGATGGATTAAGGATTGAGAAAATTGAATTTGTATAAGAAATTACTAACGGACTAGTGAAATCACAAATATTTATGTTGTTTATGTAATCTAACAGAAAAAATTCTCCACTAATATTCTATTCCAAATTGATTTATATTTCAGGTTTATCGTGATTTAAAACCGGAAAATTTAATGTTAACAGAGATTGGCCATTTGAAATTAACCGATTTTGGATTTGCTAAAATTGTCAACGATATGTTGGTCCTTTAAATTCCTAATCTTTAATATCTGATGATGTTTAGCTTGAAAAGGAGGTGAAAAACTAGAATCCGAATTGGCATAACTAATGGCTTTACAAATAAGCAAAAGATGTGAAAGCAAATTTCAGGAGAAAACTAAGTTCGAGTTTAAACTTACTTCATTTAGTTTCAAATTTAAAAATTAAACTCGCGAAAATTTTCCAATTGATCGAATAGTTTCAAAACTTTTGAAATTAAGTACTATTTAATTAGGAATATGATATAGGACTAATACATTATGTGGTACACCGGAAATATTTGGC